AAGATTCATTGTGAAATTGTGAGGTGGAAAACATCCTTATTTTATGATGGGACAGTATGAGTTGAAAGCATTTCCTCAGTGTCACACACACACACACACACACACACACACACACACACACAAATTAAGTCAGAGATTTGATTTCATAATTCAGTATGAAGTATATTTGCTCATACTCCTTACTATTAAAAAGAGTAATACTTATGTCGATTATGTTGAATTTTTTGATTTACTATTACATCTTACTTTCTCTTTTATTTCCTAACTTCCTAAACTGAATTACTCCTTACCTGATACAAAGTGACTCTGGGAACTGGCTACAGTGTTTACCCTGATGGGATTTCAGGCTCCTGGTGATGTATTGGGAAAATTCTGCCTCAATCGTTACTGCTAGAGAAGGCTTTATAGTTAGTTAGTTATTAGAAGATCACCCAGGAGGAAAGGAAATAGATTGATGGGATTCTGTATTGCTCAATACAGCACACTGCTGCTGTCTGTTCTTTGCCGCTTCCTCTAAGAGACATCATTTCCATGCACTAATCTTCTGAACAGCCATTCAGTGGGAACTGGGCTAGAACTCTGCCAAGGGGTCACATCTACCAACCTGACAGTTATACCTTTAACAAAAGAACTAGCATGAATTTATTCAGCATCAAAACCTCTGCATCTTTTACCACCCAGCTGCATTTCACACCGTATTACCATCGCTGCGCTATAATGGCTCTATAAATTCATCCAGATTCTTCATTTAATTAACTAGCATTCTTTGAGCAAAAAGAAAAGTGCTGTTTTTTAAAATTTATTTTTAAATCTTTATTGTTGAAAGTGTTACATATGTCCCCCCCCCCCATTGACCCCATATAGCCCTCCCCCACCGCAGGCCTCCACCACTGTATTGTCTGAGTCCATGGGTTATGCATATATGCATACAAGTTCTTGGTTGATCTCTTCCCACCCACCCCCGCCTTCCCTCTGAGATTCCACAGTCTGTTCTATGCTTCTGTCTCAGAATCTATTTTGTTTAACAGTTTATTTTGTCCATAATTTCCACATCTGAGTGAGGTCATGTGATACTTGTCTTTCTCTGTCTGGCTTGTTTCGCTTAGCATACAGTGCTGTTTTATAAAGGAATAAAAGCTGCATGTAGTGAATGTGGAGCCAGATCATCAAATTACTTACTCTTCACTGCAGCTTTAGAGAATGCTCTGTCCTCTTTCTCTTCAGTGAAATATATATTTTTCTAGCTTGATTGAATGGAAAATGAGGGACGATATAACCACCTCAAAGGTTTCTGAGTAGATTGTAATGTCCACATCCTAAGTTCATGTAGAATTGGGCACTGATGATACTGTCATCTGCAAGTGATTTTTGGAGAAGTAGCATGGCATAGGAGCTGAGAGCATGAACTTTGTAACTAGACTGCCTGGGTTCTGATCCTGGTTCAGCCACTTACTAGGTTTGTGATTCTGAGCAAGTCACTTAACTTTTCTGTGCTTCAATTTCCTGTCCATTAAATGAAGATAATGATTGTTATACCTCACACAGCAGCGTGCAGATTAACTGAGTTGATCCTTGTGAAACGTAGAGTAGTGCTAGCCATTGCCGTCAGCTATTACCGCCTGTACACACGGCACAGTGTGACGTGAAGTTAACTGAGCTGTGACACTGGTGACTCCTGATCACCTGGGCTGAACTAACTAGATGTGACCGACATAGCTAGATAAACATCCTTTTCTTTCCCCAGACATTTCTTTTTAAAAGTACTCTTTCATTATAAGACAATTACTTTATAAAATAAGAAAATAAAGTTCTGTGAATCAAGAGTATAGTAGGCGGAATGCTGGCTACATCTCTCCATCCTGCTCCCTGCTGCCATCTTTAGCTTCCAGAGCACTGTGTTCTCATCTCACTTTCTGCTCAGAAGGTGTCAAGACTTCCCCAGATAGAAGTTCTTTTGGAGAGCTCCAAGATGGCAGCTGAGTAGGTGGGTGTTACACTCACCTCCTCCCAGGACCAAACCAGAATTACAGCTAAAATATCGAGCAATCAACCTGAATAACCAACTGAAGATGAGCTGGAGAGATCTTCTAACCAAGGATTTATAGGAACCACATCGAGACTGGTGGGAAAAGGGCTGCCCCCCCTCCCACTGGTGGCAGCTGAGATTCCAGAGGGATATTGCATCTGCAGAGGCTCCCACTGAGGGGCGTGGAGTCTCAATCTCAAGCCAGGTTCCCTAGCCCAGAGCACTAGAGCCAGGAAAAGGCACTCACAAAACATCTGGCTGTGAAAATCAGAGATTCTGTCTTCCAGGGAGAGACGGGAGTCTATGAGACACAGGTACCCTCTTAAAGGGCCAATGAGGGTAGAGTAGACTAGAGTTGTGTGAAGAGAGACTGGGGCTTGTGACTCTGGGGAGAGAGCTGAAGGAGCAGCCACCAGGTTCCCTGAGCCCAGTTCCTCTCCCACACTGCAGATGCCATCTTTCTTGGGTGGAGCATTCCCCTCTCTGCAGCATCAGCCTGGTGGAAAGCAGTAGCCCCACCCACTGGACTCCCTGCGGAACTTGCACCTTGCTGAGGAGTCAGCTGCCTGGGCCAGGGTACAGAGATCTGGCAGACTCGGGGGGGAAGAGGGGTGTCAGTGTCTGAGTTGTGTGCATCATAGGGGTACCAGAAGGATAAGAGAGAGAGCAAGGGATGGAGAAACTATTTGAAGAAATAATAACTGAAAACTTCCCTAATCTGGTGAAGGAAAAAAACATGCAAGTCAGCAAGTGTAGAGTGAAAATATGATGAACCCAAAGAGGCTCACACTGAGATACATCATAATTAAAATTTCAAAGGTTAAAGACAAAGACAGAGTCTTAGAAGCAGCAAGAGAAAAACAAATGCTTATCTACAAGGGAGCTCCCATAAGACTGTCAGATGATTTCTCAACATAAACACTACAGGCCAGAAGGGAATGGCATGAAGTATTTAAGGTGATGAAAAGGAACTATAATCAAAACTACTTGACCCAGCAAGGCTATCATTTAAAATTGAAGGAGAAATAAAGAGCTTCCCAGACAAGAAAAAGCTAAATGAGTTTGTTAACCACCAAACCAGCATTATAGGCAACCAGAGGCCCGATGCATAAAATACGTGCAAGAGTAAACCTTCCTTCCCCCAGCTGCCGGCACTGGCTTCCCTCTGGCACCCAAGACCTGAGCTTCCCTCTGGCCACCAGCAGGCACCTGGGACCCAGACTTCCCTTGCAGCCCAGCTTTGTCTGGTCTAATTAGCATATTACGCTTTTTTTTATTATAGATGTTAAAGCACCTTCTTTTAGAAGAAGAAGAAAAACAAAAACACAGAGGAGCATAGTTAAAAGAATAAAATGGCAATAAATACATACCTATTCATAATCACTTTAAATGTAAATGAATTAAATGTTCCAATCAGAAGAAGAAAATAAGACGCATATATATGCTGTCTACAAGAGACCCACCTCAGATCAAAAGATACACAGACTGAAAGTAAAGGGATGGGAAAAGGTGTTTCATGCAAGGCATGGTCCAGTCTCCAGGCCTTTGCACAAACTGTTCTCTCTGCCCAGAAAGCTCCCCCTTGGGAAATCTTCATGGCTCCATTCTTCCTGCAGCTCTCTCATCAGATGTCTTCTCAATGAGATCTTCACTGGTAATCTCTATTTACTATCTCCCCAAACTCGAGTGTAAATTCTGAGGGGCAGAAGAGAGGATTTTTTGTCTATTTTATTCAGTGCTCTATCCTCAGTACCTAAAACAGAACTTGACATGAAGTAAGTACTTAATAAACAGTTCTTGAATGTATGAATGAAAATTTGATCCTTAAGAACATATCCATATTCCCAACCCTCTCCTCACTTCAGTCGTATTTAGGCTCAAACAAAATCAGCATCCTGTAATATAATAGCTCCAAGAACATTAAAGTAGCCATGGCAATTGGAGCAGAAAAAATTCCGTTGCTGAGGAAAGAAATTTCTGCATCAAGTAAAGAAAAAGAAATGGTTTACAGTATAGGACCCGCCATGTTAAATTAGAATGTGTCCCGGGGCGGACTCGTGGACCCAGCACCAAGGCATGTTTTGAGAGAGCAAGTGGTTGGCCACCCCATCCTCTTCCCAGGTGGAGAATGGAGCGAATCCATAGTGTTGTTTGTTTTTGCTTTTAGTTTTTATCATCCGGTGGCAGAGTAAAATGGTGAACCGAGCATTAAGGAGTCAGGCGGGTGGGGTTTAAATTCTGGCTTTCGTCTGTGTCCTTGGATTATATAACCTCCTTGAGCCTCTGATTGATTATGTATAAAATGATTTTTTAAATAAGTTCTTTCTCCCAGTAGTGTTATAAAAGTCAAGTGAGAGGAGACCCATGAATCACCAGAGACATAACATGTTTAATAAGTGTCTTGTGAGCATTGCATCCTATCAAAATAACTATATATTTTGCTACTGAATTCTACCTTTTGGCTTAAATCGAAAAGAGAAAAGTAGGCGTTAGACTGGTGTCTAGGAGTAGGCTTTGGCTCCTGAGGCATGAACCTGGAGAGGCCCCACATACTATAAACCTCTCAGCAGTATCTGATGAAGCTCCAAGGACCTTCCCAGAAGGAGCCTCACCACCGACTGGAGTTTTCTGGAAGCTTTCTCTTGTTATCTTTTGAACCAGTTCTTAGTCTCCTACTTGTCATTTTCAGTTCTCCTCTGCTTTCCTTACTTTCAAAACGTAATGCTACGTGTGCGAAGCTGGGGATCCCATACTGAAAATCATCTCAGAAGCCAACAAAGGAAAAGCAAGATCAGGCAGCATCATAAAATAGCATGAATATTAATTTTAAAATTGAGATGCGGGGACCATGTACATATTAAGTTTTAGAATTATAACTTCCAGAGAGAGGAAATATTTTGTTTTAAACCACTGAGCTAATTTTGCATGTGTGTGTGATTTTTTTTTTTCAATGACATCCATGTTGAAACCTTAGGAAGCCAAAGCAGTCATTGAAGAAACCAGAGCCCTGCGCAGTCGGATTCACCTGGCCGAAGCCGCGCAGAGGCAGGCGCGCGGCATGGAAACGGACTACGAAGAAGTGATTCGGCTGCTGGAGGCCGAGATCACGGAGCTGAAGGCTCAGCTTGCTGATTATTCTGACCAAAATAAAGTAAGCAAAGCAGGCCCCTCTTCTGGTTACCATGGTTCCCTTGCGTAGCCATGTATCCTGTTTTCATTTTCTTTTCGTCTGCACTTCTAAACTAGGTCAGTGTTTGTCTTCTGTTATTCAGCCACGGGGTGATGTGTCGTGATGGGGCAGCGTGAATGTTGTCAGCCTGCCCGTATTCAGATAGCTTCCTTTGTTCGGGTCGTTGGTCAACATTGTACATGCAGCTCAGGCATTAAATCCTGGAATTATTGAACATTTAATTGATTATATTGTTTTTATTCTTTTGTTTCAAAACTTGCTAATTTGTCTTGTGGGGATGGGAGGAGAAAGTCTAGTGGTGGGTTTTGTTTTTTTGATTAAGGCAACGGAGGAAGTGTGAAAGTTAAGCAATTTTGCCTAAGGCCCAAGATAGTTAACAGAGAAAACTGCGTTTGAATTTAGTAACCACTTTCCTGAATTTAGTGTTAACCATTTTCTTGATAATTTTACAGCCTATGTATGTATATATCCCTTAAAATTGCTCTTGAGTTTTGTCTGTTTATCAATTTTACATAAATAGGAAATACATTGTATTTGTTTCTCTGCCTTGCTTTTTTCACTCAACATGTTTTTGCGATTCATCTGTTTAAAGATTATATAGCAAGTTTGTCTTTTCATTGCTTTGATTGTACACCATTGAATGGATACACAACAGTGTATTTATCCATTCTGTATTTGATGTACCGCCCAATTGTTTCTGTTTTCTCATATTATGCATAATGATACTAAAAACATTCTTGTGTAGATATAGATAGATACAGATATAGATATAGACATATAGACATGGATATAGATATAGGTATTCTGCTCTCCATGTGTAATCGTTTCTCTTCCGTGCATAGCAGAGTGGCTAGGTTGAATGATGAGTGTACAATCAGCTTTACTAGGTGATGCCCAATTGTGTTTAAAAGCGTTTGAACAGTTTTTACTCCCACCGGTTGAATGGGAATTACCATTTACTCCACATCCCTGTTGGCACTTTGTTTTCCTTTGCTTTTAATTTTTATCAGTCTGTCGGGTGTGATAATTAATCATAGTGGGTTAATTTGCATTTCCCTGGTTACTAATGACTTTAAGCTACTGATGTATGTGCTGGGATCAACTGGCACTGGCTCAGGAGAGCTGATTGTGTACATCTCTTCTCAACTCCATGGTTAGTGACATCAGGTTGGTGGCTTGAACACAGCCATGTCGGAGTTGTTTATACCCCCAAATGCTATAACCCAGGGCTTTGCCCACAGCCCTAGATAGCCAGTGGAGCATATGCTTATGTATTTATTAGGCTTTTGTGTTCTTATGTGAAATGGCTCTTCATATCTTCTAGCCATTTTTCCACTTAATTGTCTTTTTCATATTGACATGTAACGATATGTTCTGATTACTAGACCTATGATGTATTATCCTACACTAGAGGCCCAGTGCACAAAAATTCATGCACTTGGGGGCGGGGATCCCTCTGCCCCACCTGCACCCTCTCGCAGTCTGGGAGTCCTTGGGGGATGTCCGACTGCCAGCTTAGGCCCGCTCCCCCAAGGGCTCCCAGACTGCAAGAGGCGCAGGCTAGGCTGAGGGACCCTCTCTCTCCTTTCCTCTTACCCCCCAGTGCACAAATGTCATGCACCGGGCCTCCAATATGTTATAAAATCTTCTGGATTTATGGCTGCTTTTACACCCTTTGGTGAATGAACAGGTGTTCTTAATTTTCATGTAATTAAATTTACCAGTCTTCCCCACATGTGTCTTTTTAGATGTCCTTCCGCTCCCAAAGATATAAAGATCTTTCTTTATATTTGCCTCTAAAAGTTTTGATGATTGACCCTCTGTCTTTAGTTTTATGGCATTGTAAGAGGTTGGAATCCATTTTATTCTTTCCTCTAAATGAATAACCAACTATGCCAGCACCATTTACTCAAAAGCCGCTTCTTTCCTAATTGACCTACAACATCTGTCATATATCAAGATTTTGCATGTGTGGATCTTTTGGAGGGTTCTCTATTCTCTTTTATTGGTCTTTTTCTATATTCCTATGCAAATAATACACTGTGTTTATTACTAGATCTTTTACAGTAAATCTTGATCTCTACTCACCCTTCCTAGTTTTGTGTTTTTTTTAAGTGTGTTGGCTACATGACCCTTTGATCTTTTATGTGTAGGCCCAATTTATAAATGCTACCAAAAAAAAATTAGCCTTTTTACTGAAAATGCATTAAGTATGTAGAGTAATTTGGGAATAATGTACATAGTTCTGACTGAGTCACAGAAAGGTTAATTGTATTGTGGCCAGAGAATCTAGCCTGAAGAATAACAACACAAAGTGTTGATGGTTGTCTTAGGACTTACTATATGGGCAGTGTTTACAAATGTTCAAAGAAAGCTTGAAAAACATTCTGCGGTTGTTTGATGTAGTTGTGTTATTTTAGACCAGTAATCAGAGTCATTAATGTGGGTCATCAATTGTCCTCTAGTCATACTCATTTTTCAGGGAAGTATGTGAAAATCACACGCACAGGAGCTTGTGATTAATGTTCTCTGTATATTTTGAGGTAATGCTTTTAGTTACATACAAGGTTGAAATTATGTTATCATCTTTTTATGAAAATGTTGTGATTCTTTAATCTAGTAATCTTCTCTTCCCCTTAGTGCTTGTTTTTGATTGATGTTAAAATAGTTACATTGACTTTCTTTTGATTAGTATTTACCTATGTATTTTTTCCATCCTTTTACTTTCAACTTACCAATGTCCCTGTATTTTAATTGTGTCTATGGTAAATCACATGTAGCTGAATCCCTCCCCCACGTTTTAATAATTTTTTACCTTTAATTGAAAATATTGTTTCAGTTACACTCTTTTATTTGCTAATGCACTTGGCTTCATTTCCATCCTCTTAATTTGTGCATTTTAATTGTCTCATGTTCTCTTCTTGTTTTTCATTTGTAGTCTTCTTATCCCCCTCCCCTTTCCCTCTCTCTTTCCTTCTTTCTCCTCCTTTTTTTTTTGAATTGGTTCAGATTTCTCCTGTGTTCTCCAACTCCTATTCCATGTTTCCATCTGCTGGTTCACAAGATATATACTCTTTTTCTAATTTTTAATGATTAGTTAAGAAATTTTAGCATTCTATTTTAACTTCCTATCTAATAAAAGAGAAACATGGTAATTAGCGTATGACTGCTACCCTTCCCATTGGCTAATCAGGGCGATATGCAAATTAACTGCCAGCCAAGATGGCGGCTGGCAGCCAGGCAGCTTGAAACTAACATGAGGCTTGCTTGCTTCAGTGACGGAGGAAACCAACGTTCCCCACCTGCCTTGCCGGCCTCTGAGCCTGCAGTTTGAAACATTGTAACAAATATAGAAGCTAAACAAAACCCCAGAAACCTGCTTTCAGCGAGCCTGGATCTCAGAGCTGGAGTTATACATTGTTTCGATTATAGAACCCAAACAAACCAGATACCTGCTTTCAGCAGCGGAGGCCTCAGAGCTGGAGCCAGAGCTAAAGCTGGCCCAGAATAAAAAAAAAATAAAGAAAAAAAGGAGCAGTTGGGAGCTTCAGCCCTCAGCCCCTCACCCAGACTGGCCAGGCACCCCAGTGGGGACCCCCATCCTGAAGGGTGTGTGACCAGCTACAAACAGCCATCATCCCCTCACCCAGGCTGGCCAGGCACCCCAGTGGGGACCCCCACCCTGATCCAGGACACCCTTCAGGGCAAACCAGCCAGCCCCACCCATGCACCAGGCCTCTATTCTATATAGTAAAAGGGTAATATGCCTCCCAGCACCGGGATCAGCGGAGCTGCGAGGCCTCTGCTGGGATCAGCGGAGCCGAGAGGCCTCGCGGCACCGGGATCAGCGTGACAGGGGCCAGCGCCCAAACCCCCTGATTGCCCTGCGGCTCTGTGTGTGACAGGGGGCGGGGCCACAACCTCCCTATCTGCCCTGCTCTGTTCCTGACAGGGGAAGGCACCCCAACCTCCTGATCAGCCCTGCTCTGTGCCTGATACAGGGGAGCTCCCAACCCCCTGATTGCCCTGCGGCTCTGTGTGTGACAGGGTGCGGTGCCCCAACCCCCTGATCGGCCCTGCTCTGTGTGTGTGTGACAGGGTGCGGCGCCCCAACCCCCCCCCCCCCTCCACGGGCCCTGCTCTGTGTGTGACAGTGTAGAGCCATAACCTCCCCATCGGCCCTGCCCTGAGTGTGAGAGTGGCGGCGCCCCAACCCCCTGATCGGCCCTGCTCTGTGGGTGATAAAGGGCGGCGCCCCATCCCCCCCCCCCCCCCACTGTCCCTGCTCTGTGTGTGATGGGGTAGAGCCATAACCTCCCCATCAGCCCTGCCCTGAGTGTGACAGTGGCGGTGCCCCAACCCCTTGATCGGCTCTGCTCTGTGGGTGATAGAGGGCGGCGCCCCAACCCCCTGATCCGCCCTGCTCTGTGTGTGACAGGGGGCGGTGCCCCAACTCCCCTATCGGCTCTACTCTGTGTGACAGGGAGGAGCTCCTCAACCACCTGATGGGCCCTGCTCTGTGCTTGACAGGGGGGAGCTCCCCAACCCCCTGATTGACCCTGCTCTGTGCGTGACAGGGTACGGAGCCCCAACCCCCCTGATGGGCCCTGCTCTGTGCGTGACAGGGGGTGGCACTGCAGCCTCCCCATCGACCCTGCCTTGAGTGTGACGGGGGTGGTGCCCCAACCCCCCAATCGGCCCTACCCTGAGCGTGACTGAGGATGGCATCGCAACCTCCCAATCCGCCCTGCTCTGTGCATGACAGGGGGCGGTGCCCCAACTCCCCAATCAGCCCTGCTCTGAGCCCGACCAGGGGCTGCACCTAGGGATTGGGCCTGCCCTCTGCCACCCGGGAGCAGGCCTAAGCCAGCAGGTCGTTATCTCCCGAGGGGTCCCAGACTGCGAGAGGGCACAGGCTGGGCTGAGGGACCCCCCTTTCCCCCGCGAATGCACCAATTTTTGTGCACCGGGCCTCTAGTAAATTATATAAAACTAATCACTAGCTTTCCCCTTCTTCTAAAAGTACTTTAGAACAAATTCAATCACCTCTTCCTACTTCATTTCTATTTGTGTCACTATTTTAGTTCTTTCTTGACTTTTAGCACCATAACTTAAACATGACTGCAATGTATTTTGTGCAGTCAACCTTTGTTTAGGTAAACCGCCATGCTTACCATTTTCTACGTGCAACAGTCTTTCTTTCTTCTCAGACCTTCTTGCTAGAATTATTTTCTTTCTTTCTGAAGTGCAGCTTTTAGAAATTTGTCCAGTGAGGATTTCTTGGTAATAAACTCTGTCCATTTTTGTTTGCCTGGAAACATCTTTATTGAACTCTTGTTCTTGAAATACATTTTTGTTACATTTAGAATTGTGTTGCATTTAGCACTTACTTTTTTCAGTGTTTTTACTCCATGGTTACAGTAATCATTAACCAGTCATTTGTTTGAAATCTATTGTTTCTTTGTAGATGATTTTAAGATCTCTTTATCGTCAGTGTTCAGCAGTTTGACTCTGAAGAGTCATGTGTTGACTTAATTATTTAGATTCATTGAGCTCCCTGAATAAAAATGCCCTTTCCCATTTTTTTTTAAACCATAAAGTGTTATCCTCAGCTATTTTTCGTTCATTCTTTTTGGTCTTCCTTATGTAATTCAGATTGGATGTATGCAAGATCTTCTTTTCTCCTTACCTCTTTCTTTTATGTTTTTTATTTTTATCTTTCTGCTTCATTATAAGGACCTTCTTTACCTCTGTCTTCCAGCTTACCCATTCTCTTCTCAACTGTGTCTAATTGGATAGTAAGCCCATAAATTGAGCTTCTAATTTAATTATGATTACATTTTTATTTTTTAAGATTGATTTTTTATATCATTGAATCTATTTTGATAGTTTCTTAATCCTTTATTTTGCTTTCAATTCCTTCTTAAGTTTTAAAACATAATAAGTATTACTTTACATTCTATATCTGATCACTCCAGTGTCTGTGGTTTTTATAGGTCTTACCTTGTAATTTGTTTTCTTCAATGAACTTTTCATTTATGGTAGCTTATTTCTGAGGTCAGGTTCTTTTGGATACAACGTATGTGAGAATTACCTAAGATTTCAGTGTAGAAAATACCCCTGCAGAGAAGTTTTGTGTTTTCTTCTACCAGCTTGGGACCAATTTAAACTAAATTTTCAGCTTATGAATTTACAGATTACATACGCAGTATAAATTCTGACCTTAAACCTGCTTGTGGTTAGCACTTATTCAGGGGATACTTTTTAAAATCTGCTCCCCAGAGCCAAAGTCAAAACTCTCTTCACCTTGAGTTTGTTTCTTCTTAGTTCACCCATTAGAGTTCTCCCACCTGCCATATGTGCCTGAGGAAGCCCCAAGCTGTAGGCCGCCAGAGCTCAGCATGTGCCCTCAGAGCACATTACGCTGCAGTCACTCTTACTCCAGCGTTCACTCAGCACTGCTGCTGCTTGTCCACATGGAACGCCTGCCCTGCCCACGGAATCCCTTACCTCCCTGCCAGCTCAGCTTCGTATTGGATTGTGTAATACTAGACATAGGCGTATATCTTCAGGATTTTCAGTTTTGCCACACTGGTAGGGTTTTCTGTCAGCATCTGGTAAGACATGTTGCAAAACAAAACAACACTGTAAACTAATTTAAATGTAATTCATTATAGGAAGTAATAAAGTTATATGAAGCTTATCTCATCAAATTTGCAGCACCCGTGCAGTTTAACTGTTAAATGGGCCATTGTTTTTAAGTGCTGCCCCAAATCAGCCGGCCTACATAATAAAGAGAAAATAAATGATACGGCAGTGTCGGGTGCTAGTCCACACAAGCTAAGGCAGGCACCTCGCCTGTGGAATGGAAGAAGGGCGTAAGACGACCTTTTCTGCTCTCTCCACCCAGGGAAATGTTCAGGAGTTAAGAAAGAGAATCACGGTGCTTGACTGCCAATTGCGAAAATCAGAAGTGGCTCGAAAAACTTTCGAGGCATCCACTGAAAAGCTGCTTCATTTTGTAGAGGTAAATTTTCCTATTACGTTACTTTATGTCCATTTTTAAGAAATGGATAGGCAGCTAAGCTATATAGATAAATACCAGTGTTCAGTGGCTGGTGAAACAGTCTCTGTGGTCAAAACAGCAATACTAACAGAGTCAGATTTAAATTGCCTAGATAATGAAAAGACCAGCTAACATACAGGTTGTTAAGAGACATTATTAAGACAGGGTAACATGATCCCAAATGCATTCTGTGTGTTAATGAATACTTTTCTAAGAAAACTCTTGATATTCTATAAACATGATTTGATATTTACTAGTCATAAAGAAATGTTTGATGGTTTTATTTCTGAGTAGAATTACATGTTATTGTAATTGATCCCCTCCACCACCACCACAAAACAGAAATACCTTTTAAAAAATATATATTTTTATTGCTTTCAGAGAGGAAGGGAGAGGGAGAGAGAGATAGAAACATCAAGTGATGACAGAGAACCATTGATCAGCTGCCTCCTGCTCACCCCCTATTGGGGATCGAGCCCGAAACCCGGGCATGTGCCCTTGTTCAGAATCAAACCCGGGACCCTTCAGTCCACAGGCCGGTGTTCTATCCACTGAGCCAAACCAGCTAGGGAAGAAGTACCCTTTTAATCAACTGAGGCGGGGGGGCGGGAGAGCATGAAGGAAGAGGTGATAAATATTAATTAAGCAAGAAAAGACATTTTTTAAAACGATCAAACAGATCTTCACTATTTTGTTTGTTGACAGGCTATTCAAGAAGTATTTTCTGATAATTGTGCTCCTTTATCAACTTTAAGGTAAGAATAGTTGAGTGCCTCCTACAGGTATGGCCACAGATTACATTTTCATCTGGTAATTGGGACTAAAATACAAAAGTCTCTTAGGTTTAAGATGCTATGTAACTCCTATCCAATACTGTTCTTTAATGTCTTGTGGAAATAGATACAAGGATATGTCATTGTTGACCTCATCTCTGTGAAAGAAATTCCTGGAGATATTTAGCAAATCATTGTAACCTCATACTCTAAAATTGAATCCTGTAAAGAAATTAAGCATCCTGTGTATGAATAAAACTCACTACCCTAGTCACTGCTAAAGGTAACTCTCTGTCTAGCATATTAGTTGTTATGGCAAACAGAAGTTTATCAAACATGCCCATGCTATCCATTTCTTGCATTTTCAGCATTCAATAGACATAAATTAAAAATACATATTTGGAGAATACACCTTGATTTTGTTATTATTCATAGTTGGTTTCTGATATAAAGTTTCTTACTAGGAGCTACAATCATACTAATAACATTTATTTTTTTCAAACTGCAAGTTTATGGTCATTTAGATACATGATACAAAAGAAAGATTTCTGTTTGTGCATTTTCTAAGCAGTTTTTTTCTCTCATCTTATAGTAGCTGACACTAACATTCAACTTCTAGCAATGTATGCTTACAGAAACATAGGCAAATTCTACCTTATGCTATGAAAAAAGCAGTTTATTAAGTGAAGATAATTCACTGTATTCTTATTATATTTTAGGTTTCCACAGCATTTTTTTCAATTTAGAAGAAATCCTATAGTAGTACACTTTTAAACTCATTTTATTGTAATGTTTATTTCTTCTAATGAAGGAATTTGACATTTTTAATTGTTATCCATGCTACTTATGATGTAAGATATTTATGTGAATTCCATGATAATTATTTTTAGTAAGGATGTTAAAATACTCAGCAATCAGATTCCCCTTGTAGGTGTGCCCCCTATCCGCACCCCCAAGGTCTCATTGTGACCCTGAATAATAATTCAGTCTGCCCTTGCCTTAATCTAGTTCATGAAAAAAAGATAAATTTTAAAAGTGACATTAAACAAAGTTTCACCATGTCTTGAAAAGTTAAACACTAGCAAAATTTGGTTCAGTCTTTTTTTTTTTTCCCTTAGGGGAGGTCTAAGGGGAGGATCGCAATAGAATATTCATCAGCTTTTTGTTTTTAAGGAATTTTAAAAATTGATTTCAGAGAAGGAGAGAGATGCGAGAGAGAGAGAGAGAGAGAGAGAGAGAGAGAGAGAGAGAAACATCAGAGAGAGAGAGAGAGAAACATCAATGATGAGAGAGAATCATTGATCAGCTGCCTCCCGCATACCCCCTACTGGGGATTGAGCCCACAACCCAGGCATGTGCCCTGACTGGGAATTGAACCATTACTTCCTGGTTCATAGGTCATTGCTCAACCTCGGAGCCACACCAGCTGGGTCAGTCTTTTTAATATACTGTATCTTTGTAGTGGATATTTGTCTTGGTCATTAAACACAAAATAATGGTTATTTATTTGAATTTAATAATTGATGCTTTAATTTTTCCTTGTTAATTAATCCCATTATGCTTAAGAATTATGCTTAGCATAATGACTTTTTGCAGTAAACAAACCCTTGCATTTTTAATTATATCTAAATGCATTTATTTCAGGTGACATTTGCATTTTTCAAAGTAACAGAAGTGCTCTAGGCTGTTAGGTTTAGGAGAAACAAATGGAAGTGCTTAAGAGATAATTTCACTAATAAATATACATATTGAAGTTATAGTTAATATTATAAGAAGTAATAATAGATGCATGTTTAATAAATTTATGTTTATGAGCTTAACTTGAATTTTTACAAAATGAAATAAAAGGCTACATCATGTTAGCATAAGATAAGCACTCACTAAAAAAGTCCAACAAATGACTTAGGAGGTGGGTCATCCTTCTATTCCTTTTTATAAAATACTAGGGGCCCGGTGCACGAAATTTGTGCACTGGGTGTGTGTGTGTGGGGGGGGGGATAGTGTCCCTCAGCCCAGCCTGCCCCCTGTCACATACTGGGAGCCCTCAGGCGTTGACCCCCATCACCCTCCAATCACAGGATCGGCCCCTTGCCCAGGCCTGACGCCTCTGACAGAAGTGTCAGGCCTGGGCAGGGGACCCTCATTTCCCCCCATCACTGGTTCTGCCCCCAGCCCAGGCCTGATGCCTCTGGCCCAGGCGTCAGGCCTGGGCAGGGGACCCCCAGAGCCCTCCGATTGCTGGCTCTGCCCCTTGCCCAGGCCTGATACCTCGGCCAGAGGTGTCGACCCCCATCACCCTCCGATCGCCTGATCGGCCCCTTGCCCAGGCCTGACGCCCGATCACTGGCTCTGACCCCTGCCCAGGCCTGAGGTCTCTGGCCCAGGAATCATGCCTGGGCAGGGGACCCCCATCTCCCTCTGATCGCTTGCTCCACCCCCCGCCCAAGCCTGACGCCTCTGACCCAGGCTTCAGGCCTGGGCAAGGGGACCATCATATCCCTCCAATCCCCGGCTCTGCCCCCGACCCAGGCCTGATGCCTTGGCCAGAGGAGTTGACCCTCATCACCCTCCGATCACCAATCACCGGATCGGCCCCTTGACCAGGCCTGAGGCCTCTGGCAGAGGTGTCAGGCCTGGGCAGGGGACTCCCAGCTCCCCGCGATCTCCCGCTCTGCCCCTGCCCAGGCCTAACACCTCTGGCCGAAGCATTAGGCCTGGGCAGGGGACCCCCAGCTCCCGCGGTTGCAGGCTCCGCCCCTGCCCAGGCCTAACGCCTCTGGCCTAGGCGTCCGGCCCAGGCAGCGGGGACCGCAGTGGCAGCGGTGGGGGGGCGGGGGGGGGCCGCAATCGTGCGGGCTCTGCCCCTGCCCCTGCAGGACGCCTCTGGCTGAGGCATCCGGCTCAGGCAGCGGGGACCCGCAGCTGCAGCGGCCCCGCAATCGTGGGCTCCGCTTTAGGCCCAGGCAAGGGACCCCTAGCTCCCAGGACTGCCAGCTTCGACTGTGCCCAGCTCCCATCACTGGGTTTACCCCTACTTCCTGCTATCACTGGCCAGGGCGGCAAAGGCGCCTGATTCTCCGATCATGGCTGGGGGGCAGGGCCCTGCCCCCCAGCTCTTAGCTCCCCCCTGGGTTTCCGATCACTGTCAGTGGCAGGGGGCTTCTTCCTGCTTTCCCTTTCGCCTCCCTGCATTGTGCCTACATATGCAAATTAACCGCCATCTTGTTGGCAGTTAACTGCCATCTTAGTTGGCAGTTAATTTGCATATAGCCCTGATTAGCCAATGAAAAGGGTAGCGCCGTATGCCAATTACCATTTTTCTCTTTTATTAGTGTAGATGCCTATTTATTACACAGTCAAGAATTGAAAACAGAAGTAATGTTTCCTGTGAATTACTTCATTTATGGCTATAAGAAGACAATGTTCCCAGATGTAGAAATATTTCTGTACACATTTACAACTAATACGAATTCAGATTTAGCAAAGATAGATGTTATTTATTGTGTGATGGCTTCAACTTTTGTTTTCTTGCCCTCACAGTGAAAGAAGAGCCTTGTTGGCCTCTCAGACTTCCCTGACATCGCTGGGAAGGAATGGCCGGAGCATCCCAGCATCACTGGCCCTGGAGTCTAAGGAACTCGTTAAATCCGTTCGTGCCATACTTGATATGGACTGTAAGTTTTCAGAGTTTTTTTCACTTTTTAAATATAATTGATTTAACAAAACAAAACAAAATTTCAAATTTGACAGTTTGACTGTGTTAGTTTGGCTACAGTAAAATTGATAGCTAAGTGATAAAAATCTTAATGCACTGATTGTAGGGGGCGAATATTTGCTTTATTTAAACTGCCCAGAATGGCTTCCAACAGAAGGTAGCTGATTAAGGTGTATCTTTACTTCCATCCAAAGTCTCTTTGATATGGAAAAATAAGCATAAACATAGGTCCTCAACAGCACTGGAAGCCTGGAAGGGTGGAGTCAACATGGAGGGATTTTTTAACAATATCAATAGATGGACCCCTGGCCGGTGTTGCTCAGTTGGTTGGAGTACCATTTTGTACACCAAAAGGTCGTGGGTTCTTTTCCCGGTCAGGGCACGTGCCTCTCCCTTTATCCTGGGCCAAAAATAAATAAATAAAAATTAATTAATTAATTAAAAAATATATGTAGACATCAGATGGAGTAAGATGGAAGGTACAGCCCAGCTGAGTCTAAGACCCCAAAACACAATCAGTGTGAAAGACAAGATGCTGTAACAGTGAGTTCAGCAGAACCGCGGGGAAATCCCCAGGATCACAGGCGGGGAAAACTAGGCCGTGGGGCAGCCAGCAAGGTAATTAATTAAAGGGCTGAGGAAGAGCTGAACCAGTTCCCTGCTCTTCAGGGCTGCTTGCTCAGGCATTTACTCCTCAGCGAGGCCAGGAGAACACCTCTCTAGGAAATGCATGATCTGCCAGGGCCCGAGGCGCCTCTGAGCTGGAAAGAGAAGCGGGCAAGGCTCAAAGTAACTTCCAGCATCTCACAGGACACGCGGTCCTGGGTGGAGAGCCAGAATGACTGGACCGTTCCATCCTTTCCTCCTGCCATCTCCAGGCACTTCTGCCTCTTCGTGCATGTGGACTCCCTTCTTAGGTTTGTTTTCCTGTCTCTTCCCTTGAAGTCAGTCAGCCTGCCGATTCCTTTAGTGCTGGCCACTAACATTTCACTATTTCTCTAGTTTGCCATTCTTCATTTTTCTGTGCTGCGGACCAGATATAAAAAATATATATACATATATATATACATATATATATAAGTATATGGAGATATAGATAAAATTCTATGTTGAATAAGTATTAATACGTTTTGAGTTATGTCCTAAGTAATAGATAGCTTGACTTGGTGGAGAGCAATGTTCAAAATTCTTTGGGGTAACTTTTTCCTTCACTACTTTGTTCTAGAGGACTGGAAATGGTGGCTCTAATAGTAGCTGCTTAGTTTATGCAGTAGGGCTTTTTAAAATTTTGTATAACCTATTACCTTTTAAAAAAATCAAATTACATCTCAAAAAACCTGTAAGAACTCTTTATGTAAAGAAATCCTGTAGGTTTTTAAGGGGGGGGGATAAAAAATAACCACTCATAATATATGTGCGTAAGCTCACAATTTTTTATATCAGACATTTTTAAGTTAGAGTGGGGACAGGGTGGGGAAGTGTCGTAAATGTTTCCTTCCACGTCCTGCGTGGTTAAGGGTTCAATATCTGGAAGAGGAGCCGCACACAAATGAAATAGAAAAGACAAGAGATAATTTGGAAATATTGGGGTACCAGGCGGGTAAGTCCAACTCAAGAGGAAGGACTTCCACCCGTGCTCAATCCGCACCGACCTTTTATAGTCTGAGGTAAACAATGCAGTGGTTACCATAGTTACAGTTCTTGTGAGTTTCACCTGTTTTGATCATGTTTACACTCCCTGCACTTCCCTCAGCCCATTAGTTTCCCAGGTAAGATCTGGGGAGTGTTATAAGGCAGCCGTGGGCAAACTACGGCCTGCGGGCCGGATTCGGCCCATTTGAAATGAATAAAACTAAAAAAAAAAAAAGACCGTACCCTTTTATGTAATGATGTTTACTTTGAATTTATATTAGTTCACACAAACACTCCATCCGTGCTTTTGTTCCGGCCCTCCGGTCCAGTTTAAGAACCCATTGTGGCCCTTGAGTCAAAAAGTTTGCCCACCCCTGGTTATAAGGTCAAGCCTAATTATGCTTAGAGGACTGAGACCTCTAAGCTGGGACTTGTTTGTGACTTTGCCAGGAGGTCAGTCTGAGGCTCAACCCTATATCAGTTTCCCACAGGGAAGCACCTTCACAGCCATAGCCCAGTGGACACTGCCATCATTCATTTTAATTACCTTCCTAACATTAACCTTTATATTCAGCAAACATGGTTATTCAAAGAAAATGTCTGAAATCCAGCAGAACTTCTTTGAAGAAAAGTGAACAATTCCCTCTGCACCTTTTATCCATTGCAAGGTTATACATACTTTGTTGTTTAAGACTAGCAAATAGTTTCTATGTTTTCTTTTTATTTAGAAATGTAGTTGCCAGTGCTGGCATATTTTCCCAATACTTTTATATGATATATCTTTTTTTTTATTGCTTAAAGTATTACAAAGGGTATTACATATGTGTCCTTTTTTTCCCCCCGCCCTTGACAGTCCCCTAGCCTCCCCTATCCCCCAGTGTCTTATGTCCATATATCTTTTTAAGTTTAGTAATTTGGATCAGCCCATTTTTCATTCTCTTTACACAGTAGCATTTTCTGCATGTGCAATGAAAAACAGAAACTTACTACCACGAAGTAGATCATTCAGCTTCAGCCTTCACCTCATTTCCGTGGCCATGGCTGTCTGGTTATTTCAAGTTATAATCTGAAATTTGCTCTTGGGTAATTGCCTCCACTATCTTCTTAATAGAAGGTCAGTCTAAGATGTAATACTGTGGGATTTCCTCGGAAATGAGAATACAATTTCTTGGGTCCGAGAGCTTAAGAACAATCTTCCAAAGAATGTGTATAAGACAATTGTGAACCTTTTTTGGATCATGGGATACACTAAAATCTGGAGGAAGTCCTCCTCCCAGAATTGCGCAATCATATCATTTCTGCATTCATTTTCAGGTGTTTATGAACCCCACCTTAAGAACCTGGATGTAGACTAGTAGAGACGGCCCTCTGCCCTCAGCAGAATACCTTAAGCATTTAAAGTAATTAACTTAATGCAACTTTTCTCTGTGCAGAGTACTAAATAATTATTGCCTAAAGCTTCTTTCAATTTGGATACTTTTAAAAATATGGAAGATGAGCGGTTTTCTTAATATAGAACATTTAATGTTATTATGGATTTTGAGTTAGAATATTGTCATCGCAGGAAACTGTGGCTAAAGGTCTGAGTCAGCATCTTTCAGTTGCTTATTGCTAACTGTAGGAAAACGTTGGCCTCTTCTGTTACATTACTTCCACTGAAACAGCATATAGACAGCACAGGCATTTTTAATCACTTTTTGAATCCTTGGAGGTGCTTATATTGTTCTCCATCAATATTTACGTGGCCAATATTGGAATGCTTTCGTGTAACCTTTATTTCAAATAACTACTTGCTTTGAACTATAATCTTTTTTGATTGACATCTAGATGGACAACCTAACTAGGTAACAAAAGCAGGAAGAGGCAGTTCTAGTTTAAAAATGCATAATAAAAGAATCTAGCTAGATAATCCCTGAGGAGGCCTTAATAAAAAGAGGACTTACTGGCTTCCTGAGTAATTGGTAGCATAAACACAGGCATTACCGTCCTTCAAGATTCCCATGGAAATGATTAATGCCATATCCAAATAGGGTAAAATCTTCAAAAGCAGCAGCAGTTACAGGCAGAGCCCCCAGGCTTTTCAGTACAGGGCAGGTAGCACCTCAGAGAAGGAAAGCACAAAGGCCACCTGTTCCTCCTCTGCTGGAACAGCAGTAGCAATGATGTGGAGCCCTGGCAGGAGGGCACTCCATTCTCATTCGCATTTGAAGGGGCAATAAATAAAGTCAGAGACTGCCTGAGGGGTAGACAGACTCTTTTTTCTCTTTTATCTTTGTGAGTCGATGGCATTTTTTAAAAATACTTTTTTATTGATTTCAGAGAGGAAAGGAGAGGGAGAGAGAGACAGAAACATCCATGAGAGAGAGTCATTGATTGGCTGCTTCCTGCACGCCCCCCGCTGGGGATCGAGCCCACAACCTGGGCATGTGCCCTGACTGGGAATCAAACCATAACCTCCTGGTTCATAGGTTGACACTCAACCACTGAGCAACACCAGCCGGGCTTAGTGGCATTTTTTAAATTCTCGGGGTTCACACACATTCTCTGTCAAGCAGAAGGCCTACCAGGGCTTGGTCCTTCAGGCAGCCTAGACACACTTTAGATCTGACATGCCCTGGGCATCCAGAAAGCTTTAAATGCAAAGGGAGTTGACACAGTGGCTTCTGCACCTAGTGCCACAGTGCTCTGCACACCCCCTCTGGCCCTGGTTTGCTCCTCACACCCCTCAGACCTCTGCATCATCCTTGTACACACAATGGACTAGTAAAAGCATATTGGCCGCCCCTAGCGGTGAATGTCAGGGCAACCAGGCTCCACACATCCTGTCAGAGGTCAGAAACCAATTCTGAGGACAGAGCTCTCTGCATTCACGCTTTTATAAGGAGAAATGCATCACACATGTACACACACACACATTTCATCCAAGCCCTTCTAAACAAATATGTACCAATGTGCGATGATGGAAAAAGTCCATGGTACTAAAGCTAGAAAATAGAGCTGTTGGGATTCAGAATAGACTCTGGGAACAAGATGGTAGTGATCTCAGGCCAAAACCTCCCCATTCTGCTCTTATACTTAGAAATGACATTTAAAATTGCATTCGTGTGTTTAAAAGATTGAAACCAAGAAAGGAACCTCTCCCTGCACCAAAACGGAGGGTGAAACTCTAAAGACAGGTGGGCTCCTAAGCTTCAGAGGCTCACGGAATTTAGATGAGCAGCTGGAGCAAAGGTTTCCACCCCTACCAGGGCCCAAACGAGGCCTGAGCAAGGAAGCAAGGAGTCCATAGAGCAGCGGTTCTCAACCTGTGGGTAGCGACCCCTTTGG